GAGAAAATCCCAGTAAGTTGTGTGTTTTTTTTTTTTTTTTTTTATTCTTCTCTCGTTTTGAAGGCTCCAGAGCTTGGTATGCTAGCTGTCTGCCTTTCAATGATTCTCTGGCCCTGCTGTTTTTCTTCATGATGTAGCAAAAAGTAAAATATTTAACTGGTAGAGTAAGAGCCGCTATTGTAACACTGTATTGGGAGCCCGTAGCTTGGAACACGGTATAGAGATTTTAGTCGAGTCCTCAAAGGAATACAATAATCTGGTGTGTGAGTCAGTGCTTCAGCATCTACTCCCAAATAAAATTTTCAGTTTTAGGTCAGCAAATGTATTAATTGTTTAATGCTCCATGGTATATTTTTTGCAGGAAAAGATTTTAACATGTTTGAGTAACTAATCACTTGGTAGATCTGACATCTTCATTTCAACTAGTTAATTTAGTGCAAAGATAATTTTGTGGATTCTTGCTGGTCTTGGCGTAGGGTGGCAGAGGGCTGCTAACTCTGCGCACTGAGCTTTCTTAGGAGGGAACAATCAGGCTGAGATGTGTTTGGAGCAAATACTATCCTCCTAATTTCCCCTTTGAACAGTGTCAACTTCAATTGAGACTCAAATGGAGCATGGTTGCAAGCTCTGGCACTTTTGGAGGTCACTTTGAACCAAAGCTGATTGAGTTACCAGCCACATTCTTCAAGTCTCTCGAAGACTTCACTGGCATACTTTTCCTATAAAGAAGAACTCTGGGCAAAAATGATCTTAACCCTTGCAGTGGGGCTACCCCCGCACTGAAAGGGTTTATTGCTCTTTTTGGTCTTGGAGCAAAAATAAAGTTATACTTACCCGAATCTCACAGCTGACTGGTTCCTAGACCGGTCCCTTCAGCCTGTCTCCTCCCCCCACTCCAGAGATGGAATGTCCCTCAGTGTCCAAGTCCTATACTCTGTATAGGACGTGATGACTCAAAGGACCTTAGACCGTTGGAGAGGAGGGGTAGAGAGGCTTTGAGGACCGGTCTAACAGCCAGCCGGCTGCAAGGTTCAGGTGAGTATAACTTTGTTGTCGCTTCTAGATGAAAACCAGCAGTGCAAGGGTTAAGATAATTTTTGCCTGGAGTTCTTTCAGTACTTCTGTTACTGACATCTCCAAAAATCCAGTCGTTTTGTTCTGCATTGTGGTGGATCCAGTGTAATGACTTGCCATCAGCAGTAGGGTGAAACTGAATACTGACAGATCTCTCACCACCTGGAGTCCCCAAGAGATTTAAGAAGCCAATATGTCTGTTGTTCAACTTTCCAACAGTCACTGAAAATTGAGAATTCTGTTTTTGGATGACGTATTCGGTTGGCTGGAAAAATGACTTATCTTTATGAATACACATTTCCTGTATTGCCTCCTTTTTTTCTCCATTATCTATTGTTTTGCATAAATCTATCAGTACATGAGTCAGGCATATGTCATTTCCATGTCTTATTTTTGAGGATTATTTTATTCATCTTAACTTTACTGTTCATTTCAATCTTAGGACTGTGAAAGGTCACACAGTAGCTCGCCAACCCCATTTGGATTAAAGCCAAGGTCAGGTAAGGATTCCCAGAAACTGAAGTTTTTTTTTTTTTTAATTGTTATTATTCTAACATTCTGTTAGTGAGTATAGGATGCTGAACAATGACATTTTGGGGTTCACCTGAGTGAACACCCCTGAGATTTTCCTGGAATATAAGTTGGCTGCAATGATAACTTGAACCCATAAATGGCTTACATGTTGTATTTTAATCCACTGATTTAAATGTAAAGAACAAGAATACGGGGACCGGCCATGTTAAATATATCACAATCCTGACCAATCTAAACTGAGCATATGATGAAGGAAATGTCTCTGCAGATGTTGCTGAATGTAAAATGTAGATAGTTGGATTTTCAGATAGCGGTTAAAATCCACTTTTTCAGATGAACGTTGGCCTTGGTTTCCTCCCTTTTTGCCTATTGAGCCTCATATTTGCTCCTTAGAGGACCCATATCTTTTGAAATGATAACAAATACATCTTTCGAAATGCTTAGTAATAACACTCTACGAATAGATAATTATAGAAAATTGCCAGCTTTTTACCTTATTTTTCTTTTCGTCCATTCTTCTCACAGTGACCATTTTACTAAGGGCAAATTAATATATCTCTTTACTTCCTGGAACTCTGCAACATGTGACTAGGACATGTGACAATGCACAGCATCTCAGGGGAGAAAAATGCCTGTAATCTTGTGAGATTACAGATTAGATTTCCCAATGCACTGCTGATGTAACCTTCCCAGGTAGCAAAGCTCGGGCACATTACATCATTTGTGCCAAAGTGGACCAGGAAGTGAATGAACTCTATTTGTAAGTAAATGAAAAACCTGTTTAACTAATGACTGTAATATGATTTTATATCACCATGCAGAGCGGCATGCTGATGTGATTTTTATTTTTTTTTTGTGAAAGTGGGTGAAGGTCCCAGAGCAGAGATTCCTAACATGTGACATCCATACCCCTTGAGGATATGAGAAACAAATATTTGGGTTATGGGACTTAAGTCATTTAAAAAAAAAAAGGAAAGCTTCTGTTTATTATTGAACCTGAAATCAGAAAATCTGCTTTGATTTAGGTCGGAAAACATGATGCATACACAGTTTAAAGTGCCTGATACTCTGTTATATCTTAACTCCTAAATGCAGGCCAATGTAAAAATAAACCATTATGTAATTATTTAAAAAAACAAAACTATTTTTAAATAAAACTAGTGTAGGCACCTTTTATTTGCTTGATATCAGCATTTGGATTCCCCTTTACAGTAGAACTTAGACTGGGGCAGGGAGGGGGAGACAATTTACTTGTGGATACAAGGCACCTTGCAACACAGTGTTTGAAGGTAATGTATTTTTCTAGAAATGTGTCAACATTTTTTAATCTTTCCCAGGTTGTTAGTGGTTCAGTAGAAAGAAGCAGGTGGCTTATATTCCTAGCCCATGTCTGCACACATATGGAGTGCAATATAACATCTAAACTGTACAAACAGCTGGAATTTGTGAAATAATCAGAACAGCTTTAAGCACAGTTCTCTATCTCGATGCAGCTGGTGAGATTTTGGAGGAACACTTTTTACAGGGAGAGCCCTGGCCAAGTCTAAAGTTCCAAGCTATTATCTTAAATATCGTTTCAATCTTAAAGTGGACCCTTAGCCCCTATCACAAAAAATCACATCAGCATACAGCTCTGCATACTGATTTAAAATCATCTTACATTCGTTAGTTAAACAAACTTGTTTTTCATTTACTTCCAAAGAGAGTTCATCCACTTTCTGGACCACTCCTGGCACAAATTATGCAATGTGCCCCTGAGATCATGTGCCAGAGTTCCAGGAAATAATGGGAGAGCTAGTAATCTGCCTTTATTAAAAATGGCCACTGTCTGAAAACTAAAAGGGTATGCAAAGAATACAAAGCCGGCAATTCATTAGAAGTATGTGTTTGTAGATGCCCATTATTAAACATTTCTAAAGGTGCGTTTGTTGTTATTTTAAAGATATGGGTAAAGGTCTGCTTTTAAGAGGGACTTTACCCATATCTTCAAAATAACAACAAAGGCACCTTTAGAAATGTTTAGTAATGGCAATCTATAAACAGATAATTATATTATTATGTTAATTGCATGTTTTGTATTATTTCCATACCTTATTTCATTTTTCCTCCCCATTCTTCTCACAGTGGCCATTTTTTTTTTACAAAGGGCAGATTAATACATCTCTGTTTACTTCCTGGAACTCTAGCACATGTGACTTGGACATGTGACCATGCACATCATCTCAGGGGAGGAAAATGCCTTTCCCTGAGATCTTGTGAGATTACAGATGAGATTTCCCAGCAATGCTCTGCTGATGTAACCTTCTCAGGATGTAATGCTTGGGCTTGTTTACATAATTTGTGCCCAAGTGGACCAGGAAGTAGAAAAACAATAATTGTAAGTAAAATAAAAATGTTTAAGTAATGAATATAAGATGATTTCATATCAGCATGCAGAGCTGCATTCTGATGTGATTTTTAGTCAAAGGGGTAAAGGTCCGCTTCAAGATATGGAATAATTTAACCTCTTGTTAGCCAGCAATCTCATGTGTGGCATACAAGAGGATTCTTAGTAAACCGATAAATCACTTAGCAGGGATAGCATCTTTACCCCTTGCATGGAATGATTGCATCTGGCTATAGGTCTACATTTGGCTTTATTATGTGCTTAAATATGGTAGACACATATTTGCACAAATGAGGAGTAATGCAGGTAAAAGTTCACATACATCCTTACTGGATGGCTGTCATGTAATATATATAGAGAAACACTTATAGAATATATTTTTTCTTCACACCTGCACAATGTGTCATTTTGAAGCATGGTGGGTCATGGCTGCTGAGGTATGTACACGTGTAGACCTAGGAACTACTTGCAAGAGATAAAAATGTCACTTTGTTCCTTTCACTTTGCAAGATGTCATGCAGGGTTTAGAATAAACTCTTTTTTGTAAGTAAACTCTTTTTTGTAACTCTTTTGTAATAAATGTACAGCGACTTTTAAAATGAGAGCAGGTCTGCCCTTTTCTTCCTAATATAAATCCTATATTATAATAACAATGCGTCACTGTTGCTGGTTACTGGTTAGAGAATGTCCATTTTTCTCCCTTGACTGCAGAGAAGCATAGGTCCAGCCATAACGCTATACACCATGCAGCTTTACCAAAGATAACATAGACACAACAGTAAGTTGGAAAGGACAAGGCCACAGCGTTATTTGAATTTTTCACGTAAATGTTTGTGTGTGTGTCCAAACAACTAGTGCCAGTTACAGCTGTGCTGTGAGCATCTGAAAGAGCTAACAAGAGGAGAACCTGTACTTACCATTAGTGCCGGACAAGCATTTGACTGACACAAAGTTGAACTTGAGAGCATAGCCCCATTAGGGTTAAATCTCTTGTTGGCAACTTCATCCCACCAGCAAAGCTGTCACAATTATGCTCAGTGGGCGGGCAACTTTTCTTGTGGTCAAAGATCATCTGGACGGATGTTCACGCCTCAGCAAAGCCTTGGTGGGAAGTATTACACCGCCTTATCATCCCATAAGAACGTAGCCAATCACTTTTAGCTACTTTACATATACAGGAGCTGGTTACATCCCCTTTAAATGAGAGAGGGGACTGCTTCCCGCAGTCAATGCCCCCTTGCACTGGCGGGGGCTCCAGGGACCTTTGTTCTTCTTGTAGGTCTGCTCTTCCTCAAAGAATTTTCTGCTGTAGCAATCATTTCAAAGTGCAGTGTATGCCTTTCCTGTTCTTTGAGTACATTAATTGACATTTTCCTTGCAGCTTTTAGCCGTTCCTCCCGACAAGACTATGGGTCGTCAGATCCAGGATTCACTATCAGGAGGAAAATGGAACATCTAAGAGAAGAAAGAGAGCAGATAAACCATCTGCGTAATGTATGTGTTCAGAATATATTGCTGGCTGTGGGGGCATGGCTGAATATGAAATAAACACTCAGTGAGGTCCTAAGGGGGGATTATGAACAGTCTTGCCTAATTGAATAAATGGATCCACCATATATTAATTGAACACTAGATGGTTTTTTCCCCCATAATAGTATGAGTATAATATGAAACTGCATTCATCTAAATTCAATAATATTGATTCAAAATTTTTTTTTGTTTTTATGTAGAGCCAAAATGTCCAATTGGGACATCTTTTTAGATGACATTCCCCTCACTTCAGATTTCCTCTCCCTTCCTGTTGCGTCTTCAGGACAGGAAGTAAATGGAAATCTCCCCGATGGGACACAGAACAAAGAAAAAAATGGACTGGTATTTTAACCATTCCCTACTCTATCCAATACAATTTTGCTGGACCTACACGTTAAAGAACCCTAAAAAATATTCTTTGCAGCACAACATTTTTCAACAATACAGAAATGGACTTTTAAAGCGTATAATAATGGGAAACATCACCGTATATACAATTCTCAAAGTTTTATTTCTACATATTAAAACATCAGTCCATAAAAGCAAGCAATGCAATACAATAAAATGCATGGTCCATTAGGATCCACAAAATGAATTGTATATTTTGTAAGATCTGTTCGGAGTAGTATTGTGTTTCAAAGTCTGTCATCCGATGGAGAGCCTCAAGCTGATGGAACGGAGTATTCACAGTGCGAAGGTAAAGCAGTTTTGGCGTAGTGCTCTATATAAGTACCGCGATTCACAACCTTAGAGCTGCTTCATCAGACTTTTTAATTCCCATGGTTGTTATCATTAGCTAACAAGTTTGAGAGCATAAGTACATAGTTTTCCCTGCATTTAGTGCACCACACATCAAACAACGTCTGACTCGGGGGACAGCAGTTGGGAGAAGGAAAAGGGGGGGGTTTGAGAAGTTTATATACAGTGATGTTTCCCATTACGATACACCTTAAAAGTCTATTTCTGTATTGTTGAATATTGCAAGTATCTAATGAGTAGGATTTGGTGTAGGTTCCATATGTCTATGTTGTGCTTTTCTATTTTGCTTGGCTTTGCAGCACAACGCTTCTGCAGTTTTATACAATTAAACAACCCCTTCTTTAAAATAGTGTGGTGACCATGCTTCTCCCGGGACAAACACAACATTTATAAGGGTATCAGTTCTTGTAATAAATTGTAGCTACTCTTCTATTACGAGAAAGTGGAAGAAAATTACCTCTTAAACCGTTGTCACCAGAACAGCGCCCCATTGGATGATTTCCTCTCACCTCCTGCTCCCAAATACATTTGGGATTTTCTCATGACATTCCATACCAATGACATCAGGATATAGGGGGTGAATCTTCCACATAAAACAATAAAACCTGACATGAGATTAAACATGAACATCCAGAACAAACAAAATATGTTTTCGTTTACATATGCTTAGATTTTTTTAATTTATGAAATAATGTTCTGGCAGAAATTTTTTTAAAGGATCGCTTCAAAACCTGTAAACATTACAGAAATATAAAATGAAACTGAGCATATGATATCCTAGCTTCCTTTTTGAAAACTGCTTCACTGATC